TGAGGCAGTGAAGTATTTTAATGCTAGAAAATTTGCCAAAACAGGAGTCCTGGTAAAATCTGAGATCTCCTGCCATCAAACAGCAGCAGAAAAAAAGAGAGAGAGAGAACAGATGCAGTGTCTGGAGGACCCCCTTGGCCAATTGTGGGGAAGCCTCAGTTAATCAGGTGAACACAAAAAAAATTAGAATATAGGGTATGATATGTTGAACGGGCAGATATGGTTTAGACAGGGCTAGGAAAGGCTTTATGAACCCATGGGCCAGTGAACTTAATAGATAGGGCTTGTTTAGGAAAATGACAAGCAAAGCTTGAGGTCAGGGAAATTTGACCAGCCAGCATGATCTTGGATATTTTCCACAGGATGGGGAACAGGTGCAAAAAAATGGGCTAGGGATATCTTTGAAGGTATTGTACCAATGTGGGATGTGGTGGCGCTGTGGGCTAAACCGCAGAAGCCTGTGCTGCAGGGTCAGAAGACCAAGCAGTCGTAAGATCGAATCCACGTGACGGAGTGAGCTCCCGTCGCTTGTCCCAGCTCCCGCCAACCTAGCGGTTCAAAAGGATGCAAATGCGAGTAGATAAATAGGGACCACCTCGGTGGGAAGGTAACAGCGTTCCATGTTTAAGTCGCACTGGCCACGTGACCATGGAAGATTGTCTTCGGACAAAACACTGGCTCTATGGCTTGGAAACGGGGATGAGCACCGCCCCCTAGAGTCGAACACGACTGGACAAAAATTGTCAAGGGGAACCTTTACCTTTACCTTTTATTGTACCAATAAAAGCGTATATGCTTTTTAGCAGCAACTAGATTTTGAATAAGCAGTCTAAGCAGCCTGTATGGAGTCCATATTGATGCAGTGGATCTGAGAATCTTTTATTAAATGACTGCCATACTTTGAAGAAGAGTAACTACAAACCTTCATCATTTGACTGTTCTCAATGTAAAGTTTTGTTTATTTCAAGAGGCTATCCGAGTTCACATTGATAACCAGATCAGAGGTTAAGTGGTTTGTTTAATGTTTCCTATGATGCCTTCAGCATTTATGCTGCTGAAAAATCTAAATTATTAACCGTCTGCAATGCAGGGGGTATTTATATTTCTGATCGCTTTTGGTCTCAGTGACATTACCACCCTCCCGTCTTCGGCGAGGAAGTATCACAGCAGTAAGGTGGGCATTTCCTGAGTCAGCAGAGAGAAGAACCACAGCTTGTCGAGGAAGAACACGAAATGACCAATGAACATCAGTGGCAAATGAAAGTAAGAATGGGATACAGTGGTGCCTCGCGTTACGATTGCCCTGCATTATGACGAATCCACTTAATGATGATCTTTCTGCTATCGCTTTTGCGATCGCAAAACGATGGTCTAAATAGGGTTTTTCCGCTTTGTGATGATTGGTTCCCTGCTTCGGGAACCAATTCTTCGCAAAACAATGTTTTTAGAACAGCTGATCGGCAGTTTCAAAATGGCCACTGGGTAATTAAAATGGCTCCCCACTGTGTTTAGGGACGAATTCCTCACTATACAGGCAGCAAAATGGCTGTATGGAGGGTCTTCGCTGGACGGTGAGTTTTTACCCCATTGGAATTCATTGAACAGGTTTCAATGTGTTTCAATGGGTTTGTGTTTTTTTTGCTTTACGATGTTTTCGCTTAACAGCGATTTTCCTGGAACGGATTATCGTCATTAAGCGAGGCACCACTGTACCTTTAGTTCTCCAGATATTTTGGATTACAGCTCCCAAAATCTATTAGGACTAGCCTTGCAGGCTGAGCCTTTTTGGAAATCCAAACATCTGGACCAAGCATAAGTAAGTTCATTTTTCAAAGACAGCCCCACAAATGAACTTTGTTCTAAGTGCTGCCTCTGCAGGACTAAAGGTTCCTGACCATCGATGGAGATCTTAGAGCTGTGAGTTAGACGTGCCTGGACTAGACCGTCATGCCAAATGAGAAAGAGAGAAAGAAGCAAGCAGAGATTGGGGACTTGAGTCATGGGACTCCCTGTCAAGTTGGACTTAAGTCACACCAGGGCCCCCCCCCCCCAAACCAATCCAATCAACTCATGACTCAGACCCACCTACCTCTCCCTTTTTTTCCCCTGGGGGGGGGAACTTGTTTTAATAGGGACTCAGACTTAGGACTTGGTACCATAGATTTGAGATCCAAAGGCTTGCCAACATTCTTGGAAAGAAACAAGAAAAGAACAACAGTAAAGCCGTCCTGCTGTAGCGCTAAACCGTCCTGTGATTAGAGTTGCCAACCTTGGATTTCCAGGGAATCACACATTTAAACTGAAGTTAAAAATAGAGCAGAAGAAATGGAAAGAGGCAGAGGGCTCGCACTGGACAAGAGTAAGAACACTTGGGGCTTTTTGATCAGGGGAAAAAAAGCAGCTGAAATTAGAAGGAAACATGACAAAGGTAGAAGGAAACAAGTTTATTATACAGAAGTTTGGAAATACCTGACAGAGGAAAGCTTCCACCCATAGTACAGAGCTTTGGCCATTTAAGGGAACTGCTGTCCACGAGAGAAAAAGGGTAACTCTGCTCAGTTCTGAGGTATTCCCTTCCTTTCTTCAACCCTCCACATGACAGAGTGAAAGTCTTCTCTTAGTATTTCCAAGGGTTGGAAAGGGTGTTGTGGGGAAGAGTGCATGAGCAATGTAAAGAGGCCAATGGCCAAAACTAGAGATGGGGGTAATCCTATACGAATATCCCTCCCCACAGGTGGAGATAATGAGGGTCTGGCCCCATGGGACATAGATTAGGCTGATTAGCTTGATTAGGTATGAAAAGATTTATTGGGACATAGAGAACTGGAATTGTGGGAGGTGCAATAAATCGGCTGATGAAACATATATATAACTTTGGGTAAAAATTATTCAGATAAATGTATCTGTATAGTACACCTGACTTAATAGGTCACATGTGGTCAAAATAAACAGTATGTTAAACCGATTTAAATGTTTGATCTGTATGGTCCATGGGCAAAGCAATCAAATAATCAAAGGAAGGTGAAGATCTGTTGCACGTTAAGTAAAAGCTATAAGAGAACCGGGGCACCGCGAGATGGTTGAAAATGGACCTTTTAAGATTTCATGCTTGTATTGGCAAAGGATCTGTTCCTCCTCGCCTCTAGTTCTAGCTCTTTCTCCATCCTTTTGCCGGGGATCCCCGCGAAACATTCACTCCCCTTGAAATAAACCTAGCCTATGGGGAGGGGGGAAGATCCCCTCCCGGAGTCTTTCTATAGGACCCTCGACAGCCTCCCCACGTGTCAGAACATCCTCGGGGGTTGCCTTCTCCTTTAATGGGAGGACGGAGCATCTGGGGGCCCAGGATGGCGCCTTCATGGAGAAAGAGGTCCACTCCCCCCCCCACTCAAAGAAGGGGAGAGGGGGGGAAGAGAGGGAGGGAGGGGGGAAAGTCTCCCAGCTGTCCCTGTTGAAGACTCTCTTCAGGGAGGCTTCCCTCGCAACTTAAGACGGAGCGCTTGCTCCTTAGGGGCCCTGAAATTTCACTTGTTCCCAGAGGGGAACCCTGCCCTTCCCTAACCACCACCCCGGGACAGCTCCGAATTAAAGCCCCTGCCCCGAGGGGCCTGGAGGAGCAGATCTCCAAGCTCAGCCCCCTCTTGCCCCCCTTGGGAGCCAGCCAGCCACGGGAGCGCCCCTGGCCTCTCCTCCCGGGTGAGTTTTACAGAGGGTCGTCCCCCACCCCCACCCCGGACGTTTTCTCCTGGCCTTCCTTCGGAATTAGGCTTGGAAAAGGCGAGGTGGCGCCCAGAGGCAGGAGCAAGAGAAGCGGGGAGAGGTCTGTTCTCCAGGTGTCCCTTGGGCGAGGCCGAAGGGAGGGCAGCCGGTGATGTGCAGAGCCAGAGGGAAAGTATCTTCCTCTCACTCACGGAGACGCTGTGCTTCATCTGTCGTCTCTACCCAGTTCATCCACTCTGCAATTCAGCTGAGGAACAGAAAAATACAACAATGTACCAGGTTTCCTCATTAGAAATTGAGTACATCTCTCTCTCTCTCTCTCTCTCTCTCTCTCACACACACACACACACACACACACACACACACACACGGGGGAGGTTCAGCTGGAGAGCAGTAGCAGTGAAGCTCTGCCTCAGGTAAGGGGGCTGGGCAGGAATGGGCTGGCTGTGGAGAGTCAGATCTTTGGGTGCTTATCTCCATGGTTTAGACATGAGCAACTGTGCTCCACTAAGTTTTTGGAAAGTTGGATGAAGCCCCATCTGGCTGCCTGAGGATGCAGGGGTTGCCCCCCCCAAAGAATCCCAAATGTATTGATTTTTAATATGCACAGACAGAGGTGTACACCTAACTGGTCAGTAGGAGGTTTGGGGTCAGCTGTCCCGCCAAGAGTTGGTTGCCCAGTTTGGTAGCCTTAGAAATACAGCGGTGGTGGTACCCAGTGTGGTGCAGAGGATAGAGTGGTGGGCTAGGATTCTGGACACCAGAGTTGGAATCCCTTCTAGGTCATGGAAACTCAATGTGGGGGCGTGGAACTGATCAAAACATTTCGCTACAATGATTCTTGGTGGGATATTAAGTAGTTAATTGTTTCCAGAGCAAAACACTTTGTAACTGTCTGAATAGAACTGTCCTGTTAGTCCGCCTTAGTTTGTGAACCCCAAACTTTACAGTGTTTGAGTGTTTCCTTTCAAAACAAGTTCAAACTTACTTTCATTCACAATTCTCACATTCCACGTTCCAATTTGTGTTGTGCAGCACTGGACTTTCCTTTGGGCCTCTGTGCACATCAGCAACAGGACCTCCTTTAGGCTTTAATCCCATTGCTTCATTCATGGCAGGGCCAGATATACCTGTCTGCGTGCCACTGCTGCTGTTTGTGAAAGATCCTGAGTGAGTGTCTGCTCACTTACCTCTGTGTGTGTGTGTGTGTGTGAGAGAGAGAGAGTGTGTGAGAGAGAGAGAGAGAGAGAGAGAGAATATGTTTCTTGGGACTTAAGAATGAGCTTCTGGGCAGGTTTCCTTGGGATCCTTTGAACCTTGCCTTATCTGTGAGCTCTTCTCTCTCTGTTGGACTGTGTAAGAAATCAAGCCGAGATTCTCTGCATGGCTGAGTCCTACATCTTCTGAGGCCTTTCCTAAACTTATAGAAAAAGCTCCTGACAAGTCTTTCCAAGGCCCCAAATCCCGGATCCAGTTTTCAGGAGGCCTTGGCTGAGTGTGTGTGTTCTTCCTCCCCCCCCAAAAAACATTCTCCTAATTTTTAATACTTCTCCCATATGTCTCTTGGTTTCTGACTCCAGGAACTTCCATGCCCAAGAGAAAGAGCGTCCACTCACTGCAGGAACTATGCCTGGAGAATGTAGCGAGCAATCTGGATCACATCTGGATCAAGGAGCACACGGATTGCCTGGGCAAGTACAGCATCATGCAGGCAATATCCTCTGTGAGAGGTGCCTGACAAAGCAGGAGATGGGAAAGCAGAAAAGCACACTATGGCCGTGTGGCAGTGGGCGGGAGGTGCAGCTCCGTGCGTGGCAATGCAGCGCTGTAGCTCTATTGCCTCACACCGTGGAAGGCATTGTGTGGGCAGGAGCGGAAGCCATCAGGTTGGCCATTTGCTGCACAAACAGTGGCCGCGTGTATCTACTTGTGGCTTGTGGATCAGGAGGCCTTCCCCTCCCCGCCACAATCACAAGCTTGACTATTCATGCTTAGTCACTTGGGGAGAACCTTAAGAACAACCCTGCAGATCGGCAAGCAAACCAGCACAGTGGTGGTTGTAGGTTTTTCGGGCTGTTTGGCCGTGTTCTGAAAACCTACAACCACCATCGGATCCCGGCCATGAAAGCCTTCGAGAATACAAACCAGTAACAGGTTTTGTGAGGTACAGGGCAGGTGAGCAGCGGTGGAGGGGGATTAAAAATACCGTGGCCTCTCTCTCTCTCTCTCTTTGGTTGGCAGAAAATTTGACTATGAACGAATAAATAAATAAATGCCGCTGTGGGAAAAGGTCACATGTTGAATGATAAGAAATATGGACGAGAGCTTCAGAAATGTTTGGGGTCTCCCATCTAGGCCCCAGTTGGATGCATGAGGTTGGAACTGGTCCCTCTTTTCCTAAGGCACTTCATACGCTTCAAAGGTGCCGTCCTGCCTGAATAGGGAGGAAATTAGGATTTTCAAAGGTCTGCCCCCCAAACTGGCTTTTCAACTATCAGCTCCGTATGAGTTCTTAGCTAAGAATATTTTTCGATACAGCTGGTGATCTGGGGTATTTCTGTTGAGTCTTGTGCAGAGTTTGCTTATTTGTGTGTGCGTTTATTTAATAACGACTACGGCTACTCTGGGCAGTTTACAACAAGAGCATCAACAACATAAACTGAAGTTCAATAAGAAACAGCAAGTAAACCAGTGAGCAAACAAACCCCAACTGAAGATACAAGATAGTGACAGACCAAACAATCAACCAAAAAAAAAAATCATGGGTCACTTTCCTCTCCTTCATGCCCCTTGGTGGTCAACAAAAGTTCAAGTTTGCACTCTGTGTTTTTGGCTTGAATGAGATAGTTCAAAAAGTTTATTACATTCCAGGGAGTGGGAAATGCGTTGCCTTCTAGAGTATGTGGCATCTCCCATCATCTCTCAGCCAATGGCGAGAGATGATGTGAGCTGCAGCTCAACAACATCAGGAGGGCCACATGTCCCCACTCCTCCTTGTGGGGCCCTACTATGCAGGCAGATGTTTATTGCATAATATGTAGGGTACTTAAGAGTTCTGTTTATTTTTTAAATCCAAAAGGCGTAGAGATTTTCAGCAACTATTTGTACCAGCAGGCTCTTCCAAATGCCAACGGGACAAAGAGGAGATTGAGGGTGCATTCACACAGGGAAAAGGGTGTTTGCACACTTGTGGAGTGGTATAGTGCAACCTATTTCCCGGCCATCGCACAATGTGCTCCAGCCTGACCCCAATCCATGCCGACGCTGAACCATTTCAGTCCACCTATAAGGCTACTGCTTCTTGGGGCTCGGCTGGAGTGATCCCCCAACATACAGAAGGCGAGCGCTCCCTGCAACATCACTTCTTCCAGTGTGAACAGACGTGGGCCTTTGCAGCTGTCGCTTGTCTTCTGCCTTGGGATTGCCATTTTGCTCCCTTCAGCTCCTCCCCACATTTCAGGAATCCTCTGAGGTGGGGCTGGGACAGCAGCCGGTTCTTCACTCCCACCCCGATGGAAGAGTGGTCGGAAATCCGTGAGGAACAGGAAGACTCCTTGCTTTCAAATTGCCACTTTTACCCCCCAGTTTTTTCCTACAAAGAAACAGTCAAGTCAGGAGTGAGGGGAAGAGTTCTGCAGAGCATGTACAGACAGCCCTTTCCCTGGGTCCAGGATTAGCTTCGAGGCTGCCTGCAATTCATTCTTAGTTTTGCAGAGCGCAGCCCGTCCCATGGGCTACACGGTTACAGCGGTCTTCCCCAGCCTGGTGTTTTGGACCCAGTCCGTGGAAGATGCCTTCTGGTTATTTCATGGCAAGTTCTCAACCGGATGCTTTCTCCACCCACCCAGCCGGCTTCCTGGTTCAGGAGCTGCTCCAGTTCCTGGGAAATAGGAAGCTCCTGACCTCTGACCTGCTGTGCTCACTCCTTGTGCCACAGCTGAAAACGCTGGACTGGAGCATCTGCCCAGAGCTGGTCACCAGGGCTGTGGTGACCACCGTGCCCTGCAAGGTGAGCTGGAGGTGGGAGATGACACGGCCATGGGTCATCTAGGAAGTTCTGTCCTAAAGAACGTGGTTCATCTCTTGCTCTTTCCTCTCCTACGTTGTCTCTCCTTCCTCCAAAGATCTCAACCTTGGCTCTCTGGATCAATATCTAGACACCACACTTATTTATCGATTTTGCATCACCCCGTAAATTGCATTTCTCCTGGTGAAGGGACCTAAGGTGGATCTGGTTGTGACTTTACTACTGGACTTCAGCCATTGTGCTGCCTCATGACCCACAATGTTCACATTTTTGCTAACAAGCAAACAACATGATGCATGCTCAACCTTGGCTCTCTGGATCAATATCTAGACACCACACTTATTTATCGATTTTGCATCACCCCGTAAATTGCATTTCTCCTGGTGAAGGGACCTAAGGTGGATCTGGTTGTGACTTTACTACTGGACTTCAGCCATTGTGCTGCCTCATGACCCACAATGTTCACATTTTTGCTAACAAGCAAACAACACGATGCGTGTAACGTAGGGGTGGGCAATTAATTTGTATGGGGGGGCACATGAAAAATCTGAACTGTGTTCAGGGGCCGAACCAACTTTACTTAAAAATGAAATTAAACATTGATGTTATGATTGTTTTTATTTTAAACTCGTTAATCTTCACAAATACTAAAGAGTTTTTTTTTGTGGTATGTTAAAGATAAGCAACTGTTCAACTTTAGACAAAAAGCTATAAATAGTTTTGATGTTCAAAACTGTCCGTCGGCTGGACAGGAGCGGCTTGCAGGCCATAGGTGGCCCTCGGGCCGCACTTTGCCCAGGTCTGGTGTAACAGAAGTGCCCTTAGGGCAAATGATGATTAAATAAAATAGTACGCAAGGGGAACAGTCTACTAATTTCCCCCCCTGAGCTAGAGAAGTGCTGCTGCATAGCATTTGCCCATTACTCACATGCAGACCAAAGTACAGTGGTGCCTCGCTTAATGACATTAATTCATTCCAGCGATCGCTGTAGAGCAAAAACGTAAAGCGAAAATAAAAAACCCATTGAAACACATTAAAACCCAGTTAATGCGTTCCAATGGGCTAAAAACCCACCGTCCAGCGAAGATCCTCTGTACGGTGGCCATTTTCAGTGCCTGTATAGTGAGGAATCCATCCCTAAGCACAGCGGGGAGCCATTTTGAGCACCCGGCAGCCATTTTAAAAACCCGACGATCAGCTGTTTTGATCGTCGTAATGTGAAGAATCGGTTCACGAAGCAGGGAACCGATTTTCGCAAAGCAAAAAAACCCCATTTAAAACATTGTTTTGCGATTGCAATTGCGATCGCAAAAAGATTGTTGTAAAGCGGACTTGTCGTAATGCAGGGCAATTGTTAAACAGGGCACAACTGTACTGTAAAGCAAAGTGCGGCTGTTTAAATAGCACCCCCAAGTGCTCAAAGCAGTCTCTGAGCGATTTGCCAATTCAGTTATGCAGGCTACATACTGTTCCCGCGCCAGCCAGTTAGGTACTCAATTTACCAAACTTGGTAAGAGATGGAAAGCTGAGTTAGTCCTGAGCCAGATACCTGAACCTGTTGGATTTGAACTCGGGTCAGGAGCAGAGTCTTGACTGCAGTACTGCAGTTGAACAACTGTGCCACAAGTCTCCTTATAACGCTTGCATTTTCTGACTGATGTTCTTTCTGTCTCCTGTGGCAGAATCTCTCCTCGCTAATTCTCCAGGACTGCAACCAGATCCCTGCAGATGCTCTTCTGGACCTGGTCAAAGCTTTGCCCCATCTCATCAAACTAAACCTCTCGGCCACCCAGTGCAACACCCAAGTCTTGTCAGCCGCGACCTCCTCCTGCCGGCAGCTTCGTGAACTGGATATCTCCGGCTGCCAGCGGCTGTCCCCTTATTCCCTCCTCCATCTGGCCTACAACCCCAGGACAGGCTCTTTTTGCTGCTCAGGATTACAAATCCTTGTGATGGAGCCGCTGAATCCCAGGATTGACGGGGAAGAGCTGGTGTGGGCCCTGGTTTTCCTGCTGCTGGCCTTGCCCAGCCTGAAGTGCTTGGTCCACGAGCAAGTCACTGAGGCCGTGTGCCTCATCTACCACCAGCTCTTTGACGGCGTGCAGGTCCCTCCTGTTTTCCCCTCCCTGGCGGCGCTGGCAAGGCGCAGGATGCCCGCCTTCCCTGGCAAAGGGCCCCCTGGATTTGTGCTGGCTCTCAAAAGCATACACGATTTGAGCGAATCCTCCTGGCCTATGGTCCAGGCGGTCTGCCCGTACGTAAGAAACGTCTCTGTGACTCTGACTGGCATGCCTCCCCTGGGCGAAAGCTTCTTGTCCGTGTGCCACATCGTCCACTTGACCGTCGGCTGCCGGGAGGAAAGAGACATGCGGGAGGTTCTGTTCCTGACCCAAAGCCTCCAGGCTCAGCTCGAATGCCTCTCCATCAGTAACTTTGCCTTTGAGGACGAGTGGACTTTCCACGTCCTCCTGAGCCATTGCGTGAACCTCCAGAAACTGACCATCCGCTTCCTCTCCCCGGTGACGTCCCGCTACGGCAGAGGGACCAAAGTGGAGGCACTGAAATGGGACTTCGCTCTGCCTCCCCACCCGTTCCCTTACCTGTGTGACGTCTGCCTGGTGCACTCGGACATAGAGAACCACCTGCCTTCCCAGCATGCCAGGTTGCTGAAGGATTGCCTTGAATCCCTGCTCAGGCATTCCCCTTGCCTAGAAATCTTAGAACTGGTCTCCCTGCCTTTCCCCCTGGATGAAGTGTTCGAGAAGCTGCTTCGGCCCCCCGGCAGAGCCCTGGCCCAGCTCCGCAGGCTCTCCCTGGTGGAAGACGACATCTCCCTTCACGCCATCCACCTGCTCTTGTCCTCCGAGAATCAGCTGAGCTACCTCAACGTGGACACCTGCCCTAAGATTGACGAGAGGGAGTACCAGGAGCTATGCCAGAGAGTCGGCAAGGAGGGGCTTGACGTGGAGATTCTGTGGGCATAAAAAAAAAGGGGGGGTCCCTTCTACCCTGGAAACAACAGCTCTACTTTTGCCAGGGCCAAGATGTGATTTTAAATAAAGTTTGTATGAGCAGTCCAGGTTGGCTTCTGAAGTACGCTGGTAAAATAGGATGCTCAGGCTCTCCCTGTTAACCAGGACTCTCTCTCTCTCTTTGTGTGTATGTGTGTGTGTGTGTGTGTGTGTATTTCAGGAGACAGAAAGGCAACTTTATGCTGTTGCGATTGCAATTGGAGGAGCAGAGTTTCTCTCTCTTTGTGTGTATCAGCGAAATCGCTGTAGAGCGAAAACGTCGTAAAGCGAAATAAAAAAGCCCATTGAAATGCATTGAAAACTGTTCAATGCATTCCAATGGGCTGAAAACTCACAGTCCAGCGAAGATCCTCCATAGGGGCGGCCATTTTCCATGCCTGTGCAGCGAGGAATCCGTCCCTAAGCACAGCGGGGGGCATTTTCTTCAGCCGGTGGCCATTGTGAAATCCGATGATCAGCTGTTTTTGATCGTCGTAAAGCGAAAATCGGTTCCCGAAGCAGGGAACCGATCATCGCAAAGTGGAAAAACTCCATTCAAACCATCGTTCTGCAATCGTAAAAACCTCACCATCGTCATTAAACGGGGTAATCGTAAAACGGGGCATGACTGTACTTCCTACTCTGGTGCCCCTGACACCCTAATGCTATAGGCGAGCGGTTCTCAACCTTGGTTCCCCAGATGTTCTTGGACTACAACTCCCAGAAATCCTGGCCAGCACAGCTGGTGGCGAAGGCTTCTGAGAGTTGTAGTCCAAGAACATCTGAGGGCCTAAGGCTGGGAACCCCTGGTCTCCTCCAAGAGGAACTGAGAATGGGGAGGACCTGATTCAGGAGGATGCTCACCTTTTCTACCACCACCTGCCCTGGGGCGATTTGCTGCCTTTGCCACCTTCTCCTTGGTAGTGGGGAGGGGGAAATGTGCCCATCTCCTTTGAGGGTGGCGGGTGATCCCCCCGGTCCTTCACCTAGTCAGCTATGTTAGTACGAACCTCAAAAACCTCCGGTCTACCCCAAATCTTAAACTGAAGCTTCGTACACTCTTGTTCCACAAATCCTGCATTTTGTACCCTTGTGAATTATCCAGCATCAGGCTTTCTGTGAAGGCCTATCAGTCAGGTACCTCACAAATAGGACGTGAGTAAAATAGTCTTCTCCTGCCCATGTTCCCCCAGTAACTGGAAGTCACTGAGAGCAGGCCTTCAAGAGCTATTTTTAAAAAGTAAGCATCCCAACCCAAATAAGAGTAAAGTGATGCCTCGCTTGACAACGATAATCCATTCCAGAGAAATCGCTGTAGAGCGAAATAGTCGTCAAGCGAAATAAAAAACCCAATTGAAATGCATTGAAAACCGATCAATGCGTTCCAATGGGGGAAATACCTGCTCGTCCAGCAAAGATCCTCCATAGGGCGGCCATTTTCTGCTCCCTGTAAAGTGAGCAATCAGTCCTAAAACACAGCGGGGAGCCATTTTGTGACCCGCTGATCAGCTGTTCCATAACAATCGTTAACCGAAGAATCGGTTCCCGAAGCAGGGAACCGATCATCGTAAAGCGAATTTTCCCCATAGACACATCATTTTGCGATCACAATAACAATTGCAAAACCTCATCGTACAGCGGATTCGTTGTACAACTAGGTAATCGTCTAGCAGGGCACCACTGTATTGTAGTCTTTACCCGCTGATCAGCTGTTCCATAACAATCGTTAACCGAAGAATCGGTTCCCGAAGCAGGGAACCGATCATCGTAAAGCGAATTTTCCCCATAGACACATCATTTTGCGATCACAATAACAATTGCAAAACCTCATCGTACAGCGGATTCGTTGTACAACTAGGTAATCATCTAGCGGGGCACCACTGTATTGTAGTCTTCCTATGGCTCACACATTGATTTCAGTGTGAGCTTTCAAGGAAACAGATTGCTTCTTTGTATTCTGTTAAGGTTCTGAAAAGAATTATAATACTTTTTTGCTTGTTTCTTTTTTTTTCTGTTTTGTTGTTGCTAAACAGACTCACACAACGGCTGCCCTGCAAATTTTAATAGAAGTAATTAGTTATGAAATATTGTGCCAAGTTTTGCGAACCAGTGCTTCTCTTTTAAGACCAACAAATTTGTTTCAGTTTATTATTTACAGCCCTCAAAATTATTTCAATTTATGAACAATTTATTATCTTTAAACTTGTTTAAAAGGAATCCTTTAGTTTCCCATTTATCAAATAGAAATAACATAGTTTTTTCTAGGTACTTCTCTGAAGGCAAAAAAATCTGAATGCTGGAAATTAAATTCCTTGGGCTATTTAGGTGGGTTTCAAAATACACAGTATTTAAAATAAATACATACATAAAAATAAAACAACATGAAAAAGATTTGCAGGATTAACACAGGAATGGCATAATGAATCCACACCTCCCTGTTATTGGTTTTTACAGACTTATGTGCTGTATTTAAATGTAAGTTAATGCACAATAATGTCTGTATTACTCAGGCATAACTCTTAACAGAGCTACGAAGGGTGATTTTAGAAAATTCTAGAATCCGATTTAATCTCATTTGAAATGTGGTTTGGAGAAGAGGCTCCAACACTTGAGGTATTCAAGAGAAAATTGGAAAACCATCTGTCAGATCTGATTTGATTTGGATTCTTGCACTGAGCAGGGGGTTGGACTCAATGACCTTAAAGGCCCCTTCTCACTCAATTATTCCATGATTCTAAGAGTTTTAATGATATGGACTGGGTGATAGACCAAATCAAGCTTCAATGCTTTCTAGCACCTCAAATCACTATGTTCTACTTTGGTCATATAATGTAAAGACAAGATGCACTGGAAAGAAAATCATGCTGGGAAACGCTGAGATGGTTTGACTCAATAATGGAAACCACAGGCTTTAGTTTGTAAGACATGAGCAAGGGTGTAAAAGATAGCTTCTCTTGGTATTTATTCATTCATTCATTGAGTTGCCATGAGCTGGAAATAACTTCATGGCATATAACAGCAACTCGTGATCCATCTTGGGCCCATTAATTGGGAGAAGGTTGGCAAACAAATGGAAAAAAATTAAATCACATTATAACTGTAGCATGTGTGGAGTGAATTTGGCTGTTTTCTCATCTGATACAGTTTTAAAACACTCCCAGCTGAAGCTATTATTTGATAACACTCCAGCGAAGCATGATAATCAAACCCTAATCATCAAAACAGAAATTCGAACAGCAATTTTGCCAAAAATGGTGTCAGCTGTATGAGCTCTACTAAGTAATAAAACTCTAGGTTTGGTGAGGTTGTGATGCCCGACACTGAGAGACAAATATCTCCTGCAAGTGGATGTTCATCTGCTACTAACATTTTAAAAGAGACATTGCACAGATTGATGGAGGAGATGGCTGTCAAAGTACCCACTTTGTTAAAATGAAAAATAAAAAGATGGACTAGGGCTGCTTGGTCGTGGAAACTAGGACTCAGGAGATCTGGGTTCAAATTCCTGCTTGGTCATGGTAGTGGCGGAAGTGATAAAATCACTTCTTAAATATCTAACTTGCCTTGAAACCCCTATTAGGGTCACCGTTAAGTTGGGTCTGACTTGACAGCACATAACGACTGAATCTAAGAAGAGGCGTACCGAATCAGTGGGGATTTGGTGAATCAACTCCTCGATCAGTTCTGTTGGTTCAAACAGGTCTATACTAGTTCTTACTATTCTTAGTAATAAATAAGAGGGTTTAAGTCATTATGTATCATCAAGTAAGAGGTTGCAACTAGAACAGGCCTATTTGAATCAAGAAAACTTATGTTGATTCTCTGATTCAAGGGGCCTAACTCTGCTGTGACTTATTACACTAAATCATAGGATTTCAGCCATTAGGACATAACATGACTATCAATGGCTACTAGTTATAAGAGCTACATATTTCCTTTTGCCTCGCAGGCAATATAGCACTAAACACCAGTTCCTGGCAAATGGAAGCAGGTGGATCTTACTGGGGAGGTTTTCCTCCTAGACTCCCTGTCCCTCAAAGTTAGTAAAAAACAAACAAACCCAAAACCAGTGATAGCTCTTCATCTAAACTCCACTCAGAGCTAATTCTTTGATACACTAACCAAAACAGCACAAACATGAGGGCAGACCTTAAAGAACATTGTCTTTTCATAAGACAAACGTTAAAAGTTAGCAGGGAGAGGAAAAGAGAGTTGTAAAAGCACTTCTCTCCATACTGTTCTCTTAACATTTTGATGACAATTTCCATGGTTTTGGCTCATGAGACCCCCCCCTCAAAAAAAGGGGGTTTTATTGTCTAACCTGTTTCTTGTTGTTCTCCTGTGCCATCCAGTTGTACCTGGACTTATAGTAGCTGCAACATTTCTCCTGTGCCATCCAGTTGTACCTGGACGTATCGTAGCTGCAACATGTGTTTCAAGATAAATGAGATATTTAAGTAGTTTTACCAGCTCAGCAAGTTTCCATGGCTGAAAGGAAATTCGAACTCGGGCCTCCCAAGTCCTAGTTCATCACTTTATCCACACAACAGTGGTTATCCAGTTTTGTTTTTAGTGACATTCATTGGATACTTTCACCATTACTGTTTATGCAATAAAGGGATTCCCCACTGTGGTGTAGTCAGTGGATAAAGGGATGGAGAGGGCTCTGGAAAACAGGGTTCAAACCTCCACTTGCCCACAGAAACCCACTGGGCCAGTGTGGAACTGGTAAAAACCACTCCTTATGTTGAAAGCCTTATTGGGGTTGCTATAACTGGGTTCCAACTTGGATGTCACAGAACATACACACATTTATGCAATAATTAAATGTTAAGTGGGCAGCTCTGGGTAAGATGTGCCTTTGCTTTAGGAGACAACCTTTCCCAAAACACACTAAAGAAAGCTGTGGGAAAGCACAGAAACCTAAAGGAGTGGTTGTAGGATTTCCAACTGCCCCTGAGTTTCCATGGCTGAGTGCAGATTTGAACCCACATCTCCAGAGTCATATTTATTTATTGTATTTATATCCCGCCTATCTGGTCAAACGACCACTCTAGGCGGCTACCAACATAAATAACCATATACAGTATAAAATATAACAAAGTTTAAACATCTTGCCCAGTACTGGCAACTTAATTATTTATTCAAGGAGCAACAAATAACGATTTGTCGTTTTCCCTACAACAGTACAGTGGACCCTCCCCTGAGTTTCCATGGCTGAGTGAGGATTTGAACCCACACCTCCAGAGTCATATTTATTTATTGTGTTTATATCCCGCCTATCTGGTCAAACAACCACTCTAGGCAGCTACCAACATAAATAACCATATACTGTATAAAATATAACAAAGTTTAAACATGCTAGAGCAAAGGCACATCTTGCCCAGTACAGGCCACTTAATTATTTATTCAAGAAGCAACAAATAATGATTTGTCGCTTTCCCTGCAACAGACCAAGTATTTGGCGTAAAATCAAAATAAAATTAAACCGCCACCATTCCAATACGGATTAATTCCTTAAGTAGAGGGTCCACTGTATTTGGCATAAAATCAAAACAAAATAAAACAAAATAAAACGTGCTAGTCCTTAAGGGGCTTCACGGTTTCAGCTTCTGTATTGTCACGCCTGGACTTTTCCCCTTGCTAGAATTGGCTGCAAGGTGGGAAAACACCAGCGCTGTCTTTTATTATTTTGTGGTTGGTTTCCAAATGTAAGTTGATAACAATTATATGATTGGGTGCTTGTGTTTTTTTAAAATATTAATATATAAACCGCCCGGGGCTGTGGCTTTTCAACTGGATGGGCGATATAAACATGAATGAATGAATGAACCTAACAAGCGATGCTCGTTCTTCCCACGAGAAGACAAGGATGCAAAAGACCCCGGTTTTTTTGGAGGTGTGTCTCCCTCCTTCCTTTCAGCCCCGATCACCGGCAGGTGCGCATCCTCCTTCGCCTCCCGTTGCACCTGCTGGCCCCAAAGACCTCCGCGCCTCGCGCCCAGAGCGCGCGCACCTTCCCCGCGGGGTCCGTCATAAATAAAAACAGCCCTCCAGGGAAGGGGCCGTCGTTGGACGGACGGACGGACCGACGCCTTACTGCGCAAGTGCGAGGCCGGCCAGGTCGGGGTTAAGGCGGCGGCGGGAAAAATACGGCCGCGAGCAAGGGCGCTTTGGAGCGGATCAAGGGGTGCCTGGCTTCTTCAGCAGGCAGCGCGGCTTCTGTGCTTTTTCCCGCCCCTTCGCGAGGGGAATTGCAATTCTGACCGTGAGTTTTCTTCTGAGGAGGGCCAGGGTGTTTGTTTGTTTCTCGTTTTGCAAGGCACCAGGTGGTGCTTGAGAAGACCCAGCAGCAGCAGCAGCAGCAGCAGCAGCAGCGGAGAAGGCTTGGGCTGCTGGGTTTCCCCTTGCAATGGCAGATAGGCAGCCCTTGTAGGTTCCCTTAGCTTGACTGGATAAATTCTTCCAGCTGCCCAGCAGAACTGCAGGGATTCGCAGAGCAGAATAGCTTCACAGTCCCCAGTGTAGACCACCCCTTTCTCTTTAACTGGCACCTATTTATTTATTTATTTTACTAGATTTATACCCTGCCCACCTAGAGCAACGGTCTACTCTGGGCAGCCTTACAAATTTTAAAAACAGTTTTTAAAAAACTGTATTGAGACTTAGTCTGAATACAGGAGGAGTCACTTGTCCACAGTCTGAAAAAATAAAAATAAAATAAAGAAAAATCCTAGAAATATATTTTTTAAAATGAAGATTTTATTTATTTATTAGAAATACTGTATTTTTATCTTGCCTTTACTCTTAAAAGGACCCTAGAGTACCAGAACTGGATACTAGAGGGAGCCAGAGACCATGTATAAAGTGCACTGGAGAAATATATTTCCATGTCATTACCAAAACTGACCACTAGAGAGGTTGATACCCCAGCCCACAAAGGCCCCTTCTAGCCAACCTTGCTAAAGGCAGCATACAAGGTTGCGGAAACTCCCAACAGTCCACAGGTGGACCTGTGTGGAGATAACTCATTTGTGGGACGTGCACCCTGTAGAAGTAAACACAGCTTTGTTTTATGTGGTGTCAAGTTGCTTCTGATTTATGGTGATCAAATGGATGATCTCCAAATGGTTCTTTTATTAATAGCCAAAGTCAGGTTTTGCAGACTTAAGGGGATGACTTCACTCCATCCCATATTTGGTCTTCCTCTCTCTATTTTTTGTGATCGCATTGCGATGTTTTGAATGGGAAAACATCGCATTGCGATGATCGGTAAGTGTTTTGCTTACCGATCTTCGCATTGCGATGTTTTTAGAACAGCTGATCAACGGTTCCAAAATGGTCGCAGGGTGCCCAAAATGGCTGCCACAAGCAATTTCGCGCGGTGTGCTCGCTTACCGAGGCGGCAAAAATGGCGGCGCTATGGAGGATCTTCGCTGAACGGCGAGTTTTCGCCCCATAGGAACGCATTAAATGAAGTTTAATGCGTTCCCATGGGGTTTTTAGTTCTGTTTAGCGATGTTTCTGGATAGCAACGATTAATCCGGAACAGATTAACGTCGCTATGCGGGGCACCACTGTATTTAGTTTGCCTCCTATTCTGGGTTGCTTCCAGAATGCTGATTTCCCCCCCCCCCAAATTTCCACTAGAACCGTGGTTCCTAATCTTGGATAAACCCAGGTGTTGTTGGACTGCCATTCCCAGAAGCCTTCACTGCCAACTGTGCTGGATGGGGTTTCTGGGAGTCGCAGTCCAAGAATGCCTGGGTTACCCAGGTTGGAAACCACTGCACTAGAAGTAGATGCTATAGAGGTTTTTGTGTACCACTCCTATCTAATCCTGTGAAAGGGATACCTTTGCTTGGTTTGGCTTTCTCCGAATATAGCCTCTTGGACCATTCTGTTCCAATGTTGGAAAGGTCTCAATTCTGAAATACTGTTCTTCGTCCTGAAATATTAAACATTGCGTCCCAGTGTTCTGGGTGCTACTTCCTGTTCAAAAAGGGAAGCAAACCTGTTATCTTCTGCTTTTCTACAGGTTCATTCTTTTTCACAGTCTTCTTGTGCCTGTGACGCCCAAGCGTTTCATGCCTAAGAAAAAGACCGTAGACTCGCTGGAACGTTTGTGTTTGGAGTATGTGGCTGACACTATGGAGGACATCTGGGCCAGGGCTTACACAGACAGCTACCTGGATGACGGTCGTTCTCCTGATGCCCTGGGACCTTTCATTGTGCTGCGTGAGAGGCAAAAAGTGGGAACAGGGGTGGTGTGAAAATATTAATATTTTTAAAATTAATTAAATTAGAAACATGTATTTTCATGGTGTATTTACCAGACGTGATCACTAGAGGGAACCAGAGACCATGCTCTAATATGCTTCCTGTTGAAGAATAAATACTGTAGTTTGGTCTCAGGCTCCCTCTAGTGGTCCATTCTGATAGTACAAGGAGAAAATACATATTTTTGGATTTTTTTCTTTTACCATGCTGTATGTAATTATTATTTTTTCCATGCTGTATGCTATTACTTTGGTAGGGGGGCTTGGAACCAATCCCCTGTGGATATGGGGGTCCTGCTGTACATTTTGCTGAAAGAAAGACTGTGTTCTTAGTCTTTTTATCTTGGAAACCTATAAGGAGTACAAAGAAAATCTACAGGGCACTGTAGAGGCCACTGTAACATTTTCCCCCCACAAAGGTCGAATGTCTTCCTTCTTTGCCTTTTCACAAGAATATGTTACAGTCCAGAGAGGAAGACACCTGGGGTTTAAGCAAACCTGCACCCCAAAACAGCCCTTTGCTCACCAGCTCTATGTCATGCAAGAGTAGAATGGCAGCAGGTGGGGGAATCATGTGACTGGTTCTTCCTTTTCCCCTTGAAAGCCTATAAAGTCCAGCTGTATGGACTGGAACTGTTACCGGTTTTCAGTCATTTTGTGTTTACTGGCCAAGGTCAAGTGCAGGCAAGATACTCAAAGCCCACCTGGCTATCTCTAGGTTAGTCATCCCTACTGGTTATTTTAGATACAGGGTTGCCACGCTTACATAGCACTGACAGTATTGCAGAACAGGAGGGCCTAATAGAAAAAAAAGCATCCTTCCTCTCCATCATACTCATGCCTCCATCTCTAGCAGTTTCACAACTGGAGTGGGTGCAGAGAGGGCAATGTGGGGGAGAACAGTGTCCTTCGTTCAACCCCCAACGATCCTCATCTTTTCCTGTGGGGCAAGATCAGAGTGAAGAGAACACTCTCTCCCAAATTATACCTTCCAATCTCCCTACTTTCAGGAGAAAAGGGCTATGCAAAAGGAGAATAGGTAGAGTTGTATCTTCCTCTGGAGCCCAGAATTGCTCTAGAACAGTGGTTCCTGACCTTGGACCCCCCCCAGATGTTCTTGGCCTAAAACTCCCAGAAGCCTTCACCACTAGCTCTGTTGGCCTGGATTTCTGGGAGTTGTAGTCCAAGAGCATCTGGGTTAGCCAAGGTTGAGAACCACTTGCCTTAGACGCTTTCCATGGCTGAGCCTTGATATGGGGTGGACATCATGGCAGTTGCTGTTTGGCATACAGGTTAAAGTGGTAATTCAAGCTAATGTTATCACTTTTCTGCCCAGTTAAGAGTAAAGAATGCTGGGGTCTGTAATAGACCCGTGACTCTTCCCCCTCTTTGCCGTTGGATTTTGGCTTCCAGGTTTTCCCTGCTACTAATCCATGGCATGTAAATCCCTTGTGTACCTTCTTTCTACGCAGCTGACCTCCTTCTGCAGGAACTCTTCCAGTTAGTGAAAAACAAGGAGCCCTTGACCTCGGCTGTTTTGCGCTTGTTCCTTGTACCGCAGCTGAAGAAGTTGGACTTGAGTTCTTGCACACATCAGGTCAGCGAGTCCTTTGCCCAGACCATCGCAGCGCGCTGCAAGGTAAGAAGGGATGAGTACGGATTTTCTTTTGGGAAAGTCCTGCCTACAAGATAGGATTCCCATCCTTCTCTTTCCATGCCTACGTGAAGCTCCCCTTTTCCTGCTTTGCATCATATGAGCTCTGCGTTTAGCACATATCCGGGCTCAAAGAAAAGGCATCAGATTGGTCTTACCAAAAAGAAAATGGGATGCTTCATTAAGGAGAAAGATTATTAACAACAATATGTAACCACATATAAAGATGCAGCAAATCTCTGACTGTAGAATAACAAGGAGCTATGCAGAACACACAGACTGTAATACCTGAGGCTGTGCTTAGCTCGTGCCATTACTGCCTGCCTCTTTACCAGAACACCACCTGTAGTTTCCTTCCGGTAAACCATTGGGGGTTGGAGGAAGGGAAGACCAAACAATGGAGCCTAGGTTAGGCATCCTTCAGTCTTGAAGGTAACGTGCTCTATATGGAGGACTTGGAACAGCATCTAGTGTGGCTGAGGAGGCCAATTCAGGAGTGACAGTCCCTTCCACACTGAGGACAAATACAATCTGTTCCCTGTCCAGCTCTCCTGGCAGCCTGTTGGACTTGGCTACGAGCAGCTCGAAGAACTTGCAAGTTGTACTCACTAGGACAGGCTTTGTATGCTGCTAGAGCTCTCCTTTTATCCTCAATGGCTGGCATCAACTCCTCCGAATGGGCTTCGCACCAGTCTGCCGTCTTTTTGGCCTTCTTGCCAAATGTTGACAGTGCGGTGTTATACACATCATTTTTGAAATATTCCCATCGATTTGGTGCTTTTGCTTCAGCTGGGCCTGGAAGGATTTTCCTCGAGCAGTCTGGCAAATTTCTCCACTTTTCTTTGATCATGAGTCTTGCTGATGTCAATACGTGGTCTTCCTTCCTTTTTCGTCTCTTTGTTCACAATTTTACTCTGCTGCACACCAAGGAGTGATCAGTATCGCAACCAGCACTCTGGTAACTGCATGTGATCGTAATACTAGGAAGGCTAGAACATATAGTGAGGATAAAATCGAGCTGATCCCAGTGCTTGGATCTTGGATGTGTCCAGGAAACTCTGTGTTGAAGCTTCGTATTAAAGAACGTGTTTCTGACACAAAGACCATAATAACAGCAAAACTCCAGCAAGCGTTGGCCATTTTCGTTCATCTTCCCAATGCCAAAACGGCCTAGACAAGTGGGCCAAGAATTGTGATCAGCACCAACTCTAGCATTAAAGTCTCCAAGAATTAACAGTGGAGCTCTCTCAGGGACTTTTTTGATTGTAGCTGCCAGATCGTCGTTGAATTTGTCTTTCACTTCCATTGTGGATGACAGCATTGGTGCATATGCACTGATGAGGGTGACCAGTCCTGCTGAGGAGGGTGACCAGTCCTGATGAGTGGAGCTGCAGAGACAGGATTCTTTCACTCCCCACAGTAGGTGGAACAATGGATCTCAGCAGAGTATTTCTGACTGCAAAGCCAACACCATATTCCCTGGTCTCATTCAGTGGTTTTCCCTGCCAGAAGAATGAGAGAAGTTTTTTTCTTTGTCAGATCCCGAGCCTGGCAATCTCATCTCTTGCAAGGCAACAATGTCCATCTGCAGTCTACTCAAACAATGGAGAAAGAGAAGCAAAAGAGCACAATTGCCAGAGAATAAATGTCAGTTGCCCAGGTTAGAAACCAGGCAGACAGGAAGCAGTGGGGGCAAGTATTTTCCCGTTTCACAGCTGAGATATGGAATAAATGAGTGCATGCATGGAGTAGGGGGTGAGTGAATGGTTTCCATCTGTGTTGATCCAGATGTGAACACTTGCTTGCTTCTTTGTGTACGTGTGCACATGCAGACAGGTGCATGTATGAAAATCCAGTGTTGCTCCACGTGCATCCAACATTGATAATGTCTTCTGTTCCACCAGCCACCAAGGGTGTTCTCTGGCACTGTGTGCAGGGCAAATGCTTCTTTAAAAGAGCAGTGCAGAAGAGGAAGGAACCATGGATATCCACAAAAAACACCACAAAGTAGTAGTTATGGGACCATGTCACTTTCAATGCATGAAGTGTGTACTCACTCTAATAAATTATTATTATTTATTTAATTTATATCCCGCCTATCTGGTCAGTTATGACCACTCTTGTATTTTTCCACTGACTTCCTTTCTCTCTTTTTTTTTTCCTTCTGAGACAGAAACTGTCCACACTAGATCTCTACAGATGCAACGAGGTCCCTGCCGAGACTCTGATCCACCTGGTGAAAGAGTTGCCATCCATCGTAAAACTAGGCCTCTCGGAAACCCAGTGCAACACCCAAGTTCTGGTGGCCATACGCTCCTGCTGCTCACAGCTTCGTGACTTGGACATCTCGGGCTGCGCTAACCTGTCTCTCGATTCTGTCCTTCATCTGGTCTATGACCCCGCCGGGGGCTCCTTGTGCTGCCAGTCCTTGCAGGTCCTCGAGGCTGGTCCCTCGAGCTTGGCCGTTAACATGGAAGACTGCGTTTGGATCCTCGTCTTTGTGCTGCTGGCTTTGCCCAAACTGGAGCTGTTGTTTCACTTCTTTGTGGCTGAGGCGGTGTGCCTGATCCACAGCCAGCAGTTCGGCAGCAGCCAGATTCTCCCTGGCTTTCCCTCCCTGGAGAAGCTGGCGTGGTGGCGCAGGACGTTGGACCTCCCGCGTGAGGAGAGCGCCAGGCTCACCCTGCGCCTCAGGGAAGTGCAGCATATTGAAGAGCCCTCCCTGCCTCTAGTCTGCGCTGTGTGCCCCCACTTGGAGGAAGTCTCTGTGATCCTAAGAGGGAGGCCTGGATGGAGCCAAAGTTTTTCCTCCTGCGGCTCCATCTCTCGGCTGAGCCTCTATGCTAGGGAGTGCGAGGACTTGAGGGCGCTCCTGCCTGTGCTGGAAAGCCTGGGCCCCCAGCTTCGATCCCTCTACATCAGTGGCTTCTGCTTTATAGACCGGTTCTCGTTCCACGTTCTGCTGAGGCACTGTGTGAATCTGCAGAAACTGTCCATTTACTTCTGCTCTCCCTTGGTGTACAGTCATGGGGAGGGGCAGCCAGACTTCGCAGCCTTGGACTGGGACTTCAGACTCCCTCCCCTTCAGTTCCCTTGGCTTCATGAGTTTTCCCTGACCTATGCAGACACGGAGAACCCCTTGCCTTTTCCCCACGTCCTGTTGCTGGAGCATAGCCTTCAGTGGCTGCTCACCCACTCCCCGTACCTCGACAGCCTGAATTTGTCCCACTTGCCCTTTGACCTGGACCAGCTCTTCTACAATGTCCTGGTGCCACCCAGCACGGCCCTGCTGCACCTCAGCAGGGTGACGCTGGAGGAGGTCTACGCCTCCCTGACCTCCGTGCACTTGCTGTTGATTTCGCAGAACGAGCTGAGCTACCTCAAGCTGCTCTTGTGCTCGGAGATCCACCAGATGGAATATGAAAGGATTCTTGACCGGGTCGACGCGGAGGGCTTTGATCTGGAAGTTGAGTGGGGCTGAAAAGTTCCCCCTGGACCCCCCCACCCCACTCCCACCCCACCCCAACCTTGGAATGACAGATCCGCGTGTGCCAGGGTTTCAAGAGGATGGCACTTGGTTTTTAATAAAGTCTGTTTTTTTAAAAAAACAAATTGAAGCTTTGCTTCTGAACTATTCTGAATGCTGGAAAATTAGGATGGATGTTCCTTGTGATCTTTTGAAAGGTTTTCTAAGCAAGTGTGTGTTGGGTTTGTTAGGGAGACACGTTTGCACCTTGGGCTTGCTAGCTGGCGCAAGCTTTCCTGTTTCCTGAAGTGCAAAGCGCTGCTATTCTGCCCCCTTTGCCACTGTACCTACGAACCCAGTCCTGCAATATTCACCAGGAAGGGAAGAAGCGGGAGAGAAAGAGACAGCAATAGAGACCCCTTTCTCTCTAGACCCTCCTTCCTCCATAGTCTGTCTTAGCTCTTAGAACTGCAGAGCTGACAGGAACCCTTTGGATCATCGAGTCCAGCCCCTATTAAGGAGGTGCAGTGAGGAATCAAACTCCCAACCTCTGACTCGGCAGCCAGATGCCTAAACCACTGAGCTGTCCAGCAGTTGATTGGTGATCACACCTTAGCCAAGGGTCACCGTGTCTCGTTTCTATCTGAAGGGTGTCCAAAGACTGGTAAATAATAATAAGCAACATCTTAGAACTGTAGCACTGGAAGGGACCCTATGGATCCTCAAAAAGATTTTATAATAAAGCATTTCATTAAAATAAGCCAGGGCCTTTTAGTGTGTAGAACCTGAAAAGCAGAGATGAGTTTTATTCTTTTCTTTCCTAGACTGCAAATGCCAATAATTCTTTATTCTGGGAGTTCTGCCTAACTTAACAGACTTCTCTCTCTGATGTACCTGGGTGAATGACCAGAAGTGAAATCCTTTGAGGCTTAGCTCACCCTCCACTGCCAGTTTCCTGTTCAGAAAGAAAACTCCTAGCTAGCACCAGGGCAGGTCCAGGAAGCAGTGAGTGAGCCAAGATGGCAGAGGGAAGAGCAGAGCACGAAAAATTTGCTTTTGGGAGTGTATAAAGACTTACAGAATCCTCCAGGCTGCTTGCCCAGTGGGGAATTCTGGAAACCATCGTCCAAAAAAAGGAAAAAGATTCTAAGTTTCTGGGGAAGAGACAACATTGTTTTCTACATTTAGGGTTATGAAACATCTCCGAATACAATATTTCTGATTTATATCCCAACCCACCTGGAGAAAGACAAAGTCAGTCTCTTCCCAGGCGGCTCTTGAGAATCCCCTGGACTGCAAGGAGAACAAACCTATCAGTTCTAAAGGAAATCAACCCTGAGTGCTCACTGGAAGGACAGATCCTGAAGCTGAGGCTCCAGTACTTTGGCCATCTCATGAGAAGAAAAGAGTCCTTGGAAAAAACCCTGATGTTAGGAAGGTGTGACGGCAAGAGGAGAAGGGGACGACCGAGGATGCGATGGCTGGACAGTGTCTGCGAAGCAACCAACATAAACCTGACACAACTCTGGGAGGCAGTAGAAGACAGGAGGGCCTGGCGTGCTCTGGTCCATGGGGTCACGAAGAGTCGGACACAACTAAACGACTAAACACAAGTTTCTGGGGAAGAGACAACAACATTGTTTTCTACTTTTAGGGTTATGAAACATCTCTGAATACAATATTTCAGATTTATATTCCAACCCACCTGGCGAAAGACAAAGTCAGTCTCTTCCCCCAGAGATTGCTAATTTCTCCCTACACAATGAGCTCTTGGGTTCTCATAATGCCAGCACTGAGGGGGGCAACTTGCATTGGCCATTTGCCCTGCAGGTTATGTTCAATGAGGCACAGACGAATTTCAGTTAAAACCTAGGAGACTGCACGACAAAAACTCATCATGGGGAAGCCCATTGTGGAATTGTCTGTCTTTCATCCATCCATTCATCCATCTATAGCATGAATGTACTGCTAAGGTGCATATGTGTGTTTAAATTAATATGTACCAGAATATTCCGATATAGTACAGAAAATCGGCCATACCTTACTTTGCTTGTTCCCCCTCTTCACTCTCGTTTGTTTCTTAACTTTTTTCCTCCTCAACCATTGGCTGTAGAAAGATCTCAGTGCTGCTTTATGCCGCTGACCTGGTTTTGCTATCCCTGAACAAAACTGGCCTTAAAAGAATGCTATCTAAATTTGGGCAGCTCGGTAAAGAGGAACGGCGAACCATCAACTACACTAAGACAAAGTTCATGGTCTATGGGATGAGAGCCCCTGAACATAATTGGTCATTGGATGGGCATGTCATTGAACAGGGATAGTCCTATAAATATCTGGCCATCCACTTTTTGTGAGAAACTGTCTTGGAAACAACATCCAAATGGCACTATATGATTGAGCTCCAGATTGATAGGGCAACTAAAAAGATTTTTTTATAGTAGAGGCAGCCAACTGATAAATCCTGCATTCAAGATGTCACAAATGCTTTATGGGGCAGAATTATGGGGAGAAGCAGCTAAGCCAAATTTGGAAATTTTGCAGAATAAATTCATGAGGCTGATACTGGAGCTCCCTCCGAGAATTCCCTCGACTCATTTCAGAGCTGAGTTAGGCCTTCCCTCAATTGCCGCTGAAGTTGACCTGGCCTATTTTAGATACTGGCAAAGATTGAACAACTTTGAGGACCTCTCCTTGATAAAGTGCTGCTGGCTAGAACAACTACACTTTGGTGGAGGGGCACAACAGTGCTACCAAAAACTAAAAGCCTACAGCCTCCCACTGGAAAAAATTCTTCATTCTAGGCTCCCAGGACCTTAGAAACTGGATTCTCGATTTTGATGCCAGTCAGGACAGGGCTGTTATTGTCAGGTCCCGTTTTTGCACCTGGTACACCCAACATCAGTTGAATCATGCAAAACCAAGCTACTTTGAGGGTCACTGACTTTTCCTCAGATCCGCAGAGCGTTCAGAGAACTTCGATTTGGGCAGATGACCACAACATGTATTGAAGGGAGGTATAAAGGAATCTCAGCGGAGAGGCAGAAATGTGTCTATGGCTGCAATCAGAGTGAGGACGAAACTCACTACTTATTACTTTGTCCTCTCTGAAAATCCCAGATAGTTGTCTCCCATTATTCAGCTGTATCCCAACTGTACTTCAATGGAAATAATAGTAAGGCTACCTACTGATACACAATTGTATATTTATTTATTTAATTTATACCCCGCCTATCTGGCCCACCGGACCACTCTAGGCGGCTTCCAAATATAAAATCAAATAATAAAACATAGACAAATACATAATAATCAAACAAGAACAGCAGTAAAAATGAAAAGGAAAAGTAAGAAAAAATCAAGAGTTGGCTGGAGGGAAGGCCTGAATAAACAGCCATGTTTTTAATTGGGTTTTAAAGGTGCCCAGCGTGGGGGCCGCGTGAATCGCCGGAGGGAGATTGTTCCAGAGGCGAGAAGCCACCGCCGAGAAGGCCCAGTTTCGTGTCTTCTCCTTCCGGGCCTCTCTCGGTGTCAGGCTCCTCAGCCTCACCTCCTGACCAAGGTATTATGTACTCTGTTGTACAATTTGCTCCGGCAGCTAAGAAGCTGAGGCTTCGATTTGTTAAGGTACATAATATTACATAAATGTTGAATATAGTGACTTTTATATTATACACTTTTATATTATACACTATGCCACCATTCCCAGAACGGGTTTATTGACCCCTGGAACATCCTTTTGTTTTAACCATTTTTATGTAAGTCTGCCTTTATAAAGGCCTATGGCCAGAAACAATAAAGGTACAATGTGTGTGTAACAAGAAAGGAGAGGTCACCCCGCTGAGTGGATTCGAACTGCCGACCTTTTGATCAACAGCTCAGTGGCTCAGCAGTTTAACCCGCAGTGTCACCTGCATCTTCGTATTGCAGGTAATGAACTTTTTAAAGATATATTTCTTGCCATTCTATGAATCTCTGAATTCTGTCACATGTATTCTTACAGTAAGTACAATGGCCACAAGGAGGGTGACCCGTGGGAAGGGAGGAATCAGGCAAAGTGTTAGAGATTTGCGTTGGTAATCTGTCTCTGAACTCGCTCTTAATTAACATATCTCCTGGGGTTTCTGGGAGCTGCAGTCCAAGAAGGCCTGGGTTATCCAAGGTCAGGAACCACTGGTCTAACAAGACTGGGAGGAACCTTCCACTCCATGCCACTGGGTCAAATCTGAGACCCTCAACTATGACTGGAGTCTACACCCCTCCATGCGAAGAACGGGGAAGAACAAGGAGCCCTCCATTTGACTAAGAGGGAGGATGCTCTCACCAGTCTTATGTAGACTGTTCATCATTTAATTTATCTCAAGTAGAGGACATCAAGATGTCAATGTGCAGCAAAAAAAGAGAAAACTTTTATTTCTGTGTGCTTTAAGGTTTTTTTCTACTTCGCCGTTTGATTCTAACACTGGCTGTGCAGAGAAAGCGAAAATGTCTTGCTTGAAAAACAAAACAAAACGGGAAAGTGTCTGGGTTCTAGACTTCACCTCACAGCTACAAAGAAAGTGGCAGAATATTCCATCCTTTTAGGATAAGGAAAGTGATTGCAATGGGATTCCCTTCATGTTTTCAACATCTCATTCTGACTCCTGAATTAAGCCAGAAATAGGGACGGATGGCTTTCCCAGCAAAGGAATCAGACGTGAAAATGAAGATCAAGTAATCTGTGTCGGTGTCAAAAAATTCTATGAGTCCCTCATCGTAGTCCAGGAATATCCTGATCTTTCTTATCTCGTTCCTGATGACCAAAGGGGTCCATCCAGGAGAAGTACAAGCCCAGAACTGGCATGATGAAAAGGTCTCATGCGTTGCCTTTCCCACAGCCCAGATTCCCTCACTGGAATATTGATAAATCGCCCCCTTCCTCATGACAGACTCTCGTGCAACCCCCACAGTCCATAGTGCTTCTAAAGCGGTCATGGTGGACCAACGTCTCCCATATTCTCCCTTCAATCTCCACTTCCCAGCACTGTTTTCCTGATATAAATCATTCATGGCCCAGCACGGCCCGCATCGTGTCAAATCTCTCAGGGTTGTCGGGCAAGTTCAATCTTAGGCCTTTCCACTCCACGCCCTTCAGGTCTTC